AAATAAACAATCTAATATTATTACATTTTAGTTTTTTATTTTTATATAAGGGTTCATAAGTCAATATATTTTGAGCTGTACAATAGAGCAGTGTGTGAAGCCCGGTATCAAAGTAGGATCATACATCGGTACACAACCTGAAGTTAACAAAGACAATTCATTTTGTATATAAATTATGGTAAAGAGCTTCATCCGTCCACGCGAGCGGACCGTCTTTTTTCGCAACCCGCGAGATGAGAGCGAACAGCGCGGCTAGCGGAACGGCGGCGTAGGGAATAAACCGGTGGTAAAAATTGAGCGATCCTAGGAAGCGCTGGAGCTCCTTTTTGGTCTCAGGACGCGGACAACGACGGACGTCGGCGACGGATTGCGGATTCGGACGTGAACCGCGTGAGTCGATGTTATGACCCAAAAACATTAACTCGCGAGCGGCAAAAACACATTTCGCGGGATAAACGGCGATCCCGAACTTTCGAAACGCGCGGACGTGAGCACGGTGCTCCTCTTCGGAGCTGACGCGATGAGGACGTCGTCGACGTAGGCGAAAACGAAACTGAGGTCGCCCAAAATCGTGTTGATGAGCCGCTGGAAAGTCTACGGGCGTTACGGAGACCAAAACACATAACTGGAAACTCGAAAAGACCGAACGGCGTGGTAACAGCCGTCTTGTGAACGTCGTCGGCGCGATCGGCACTTGATGGTACGGTCGAAAGGACCCGTCCTTTTTTGGCACGAGTAACAACGGACTAGCCCACGCACTCGAAGATGGTCGGCAGATGTTTGGCTTCCACATAATTTTTACATATTTTTTCTTTTTTATTTATTATACCAACAACTCGTAACCAAGTTATTCATATTGTAATCAATATACTTGTGATTATTACACATAGATACATGCATAAAGATTATAGACACACACGCACACAAATATTTTTACAAACTGTTTTCAAAAATAAATCTATAAGGTCTTAGGTTCTGGAGAATAAACAATAACCAAAGAGTTTCTATTTCTCAACGTATCTATGTCTAATATTAACTAATTTTATATAACCTCACCTATTCCAATTCATGTTTCTATGTGAAACTGCTAGTTTGTATAAACCTTATTAATTTATTATTTTTTTATAAAGCATGGAGCTTAACGAAAATATGAATTATAAACACAGAATACGATTTCTATATATCCACTATTGTCAATTATAGTTTGAAAACTTGCGGTGACTAGGTACAACTGGGCTTTTTCGATTATTTTCTTATTTTCTAGAACATTAAAATGTCTTCGCTAAATGTTTTAGCGGCTGACAAATTTGCACAAAGCGAACGATGTAAACCATTGTTACAATGTCAGCACAAGTTCCTGAGGACAAATTGATGGGTATTCAATATCATCAAAAGGTATGCGATATATTTTAACCGTTCATACTCCATGTTTGTAGGTTTTTTTAATTGCATGTAATTTTGAATATTAATATTATTTATAAAATTTTAAGTTTGTTCTTATGAATTTTATAAGTGTAAATTATATCAATAGCATAGGCTTTATCTACTGGAAATGTTTCTGAATTAATTGTTTTTAATTTATTCTCTACTTTGATAATAATTATAGGTAATTTGTCATTTACCAAAAATATTTAGTAAAATTTTGTCGAAAGTTCAATCATTTTGGACACGTTAAGCATTGAAAATTATGATACATTAAGTATTTTCTTAGTAAGTCGTTCAATTCTATACAGTTTGATTGAATTCTATTTTAAATGATTACCCCAGGTATTTCTTTACTTTTAACACAACTAAAATATTATAATTTTCATGCTTGACAAACAATACGAATAGGTTATNTTAATAATTATAGGTAATTTGTCATTTAACAAAAATATTTAGTAAAATTTTGTCGAAAATTCAATCGTTTAAAAAACAATAAAATGGGAATCTATATGAGATTAAATACAATTTAAAATCAAAACCACATAAGACATAACTTAATGAACGGCACCAATAAAAACTATAAAAATAGACCTAATAAATTATTAAAACAAAATAATTTTTTTTTTTTTTTTTGAAAACGTGTTTTGGTAAAATCGAATGCAATTGCTTTCGTTTACACTAACAAAATACATAAAAAAACTTAAGATTTTATAAATAATAATAATATTCAAATTTTATGTAGATAAAACTAATAGACATTTTCAAATAAGATATAAAAAACACATTTTTAAAATAAAATTAAAAAGACTGCCCCCCCCCCAATTCAAATATCGCTAAAAATATTCTAGAAAACAACCATAATATAAGTTTTGATATCAATACTACAGACTTGGAACTATTAAAAATCCAAAATAACATTTATATTAATTGAGTTTTAGAAGAATTACACATACACAATGAAATAATCACAAATAATATTTTAAATGTACAAACCCATTTTAAAAATAATATCTAATATCAATACATTTTAAATATACTTTTATTATTTTGAATTCAGGTGGTCGCTTTTTGTCGAATATGATAAGTGGCTATACAGTTGGCCGTTCTAATATTGTAAAGTAAGTAAATAAAATTAAGAACGATTTTCAATAAGTAATAATAATCTTTATTAATAAAAAAAAAAGTTGAGATTGCACATATTTAAATATTAACTATGATATCATTAATTATTTATTTGTCTTAGGCCTGGAGCAATTGTCGGATTTTGTAATCCATTGCTAGACATGACTGTTGTTGGGAATCAATATTTATTAAACAAATACGGTCTCAAGAAGAATGATGCAATTTTGGCTAAAGAAGAACACATGCCTCTATACGATGAAATATTAAAAGACAATAATGTCGATTTCACTGCTGGAGGTTTGGGTTAAAGTTCATAAAAAGTTGCTCAGGTATTTAAAGTGCCATGTTTGAATTCAAAATTAATAGTATTCAAATCAATTATAACTAAGCATTTGTAGTGGATTTTGAAAAAACCGAATACAATGGCTTTTTTCGGCGCTGTTGGTAAAGATAAATACAGCAACATTTTAAAGCAGAAAGCGAAAGAAGAATGTCAAGTATCAGTACTCGTCGAAAATACCGACCGGTAAAAATTTTTATTGTTTGGGACAAAAAAATAGTAATTATACAGTTACAAACATTTGTATCCACAGGAACTTGTGCTGTTATTGTCACAAACAATGGTTTAAATCGATCCCTTTGTTCAAATTTATCAGCCGCAAAACATTTAGCGAAGACCATTTGAATGTTCTAGAAAAGAAGAAAATTATCGAAAACGCCCATTTGTACCTAGTCACCGCAAGTTTTCAAAATATAATAGACAATTATGGATATACACAGAAATCGTATTCTGTGTTTAAAATAAACATTTTTGTTAAACACTATGATTTATAAAAAAATAATAAATAAAAAAAGTTTATACAAATTGCCCGTTTTAAATAGAAAAAATGAATTTGAATAGGAGATATTATATAAAATAAACTATTATTAGTTGGTTATTGTTTATTACCTAGAATCATGGGTATAAGATATTATTTTTGAAATTGGTTTGTACATTCAGTATATTGTTAAACTATTTTTCTTTGTTTCATTTTGTAAGTGTTATTCTCATAAAACTGAATTCGTGTAAATGTTATTTTGGGTATTTAATATTTCTAAGTCTGTATTGAATATATTGATATTAATTCGAAAGAAAGGCACGTCAAGCATTGAAAATTATGATACAATTAATATATCTTTTAACTTTTATATTAGTCATTCAATTCTATACGGTTTGATTGAATTCTATTTTAAAAGATTACCCCAGGTATTTCTTTACTTTTAACACAACCAAAATATTATATTTTCATGCTTGACAAACAATACGAATAGGTTATTTAGTTAATTTATAAATAATTAAATACTACATTAGGTACTCTTTAATAATTAAATTATGATGACCTTATAGGTATATAGGAAAATATTCATTTACGCATGTTCCAGTGTTAATTTTTTTGTATGTTTAATCACAAGTATATTGATAACAATAGGAATAGCTTGGTTACGAGTTGTTGGTATAATAATTAAAAATAAAAGTTATTTTTTCTTACTGTTCCACAGGAGTTTTTTTTTTTATGTAATTACATTGCTTGGGAAGGTGAAGTGTAGAAATTATTGGTATATAACGAATAACAATATGAAAAATATGGTTTTATAAGTTGTTTTACAATAACATCAGATTTCTCTAACTGGTCTTCTAAAGGGTCTTTATTATCACTTCAGATTTCAGTGCGAATAATTGCAAAATTGATGAGTTTAAAGATTAAATATCATCAAATGGTATGTGATATATTTCAACCGTTCATACTCCATGTTTTTAGGTTTTTTTAATTGCATGTAATTTTGAATATTAATTTTATTTATAAAATCTTAAGTTTGTTCTTATAAATTTCATAAGTGTAAATTATAACAAAACCATTTGATTTATCTACTGGAAATGTTTCTGAATTAAGTGTTTTTAATTTATTCTCTACATTGATAATAATTATAGGTAATTTGGCAATTACCAAAAATATTTAGTAAAATTTTGTCGAAAGTTCAATCATTTTGGGCACGTTAAGCATTGAAAATTATGATACAATAAGTATATATTTAAACTTTTATTTTAGTCGTTCAATTC